TGTGAGTTTTTCAAAAAGCTGAAATTGCACTTGCTGAAGCGGCTCGTGCAATTTCAGCTTTTTGAAAAACTCACTCGTGCAAATTAATTCCAAATTGAACTCAAAACCGTATGATTACCTATACCAATGCACATGTTTATTAATTTTCTCAGTCTAACTATTTTAGTATACAATCTACTAGCATTCTATCACAAACTTTCCATTCTCTTATTGGCTACCCTACTCCCCATCTATTCAGTTGTAGATGCTGAGTTACCTAGCAGTGTGTGTTGTTGTTTGATAATATTTTGACCTTGGTTTAAAGTGTTTTAAAACAGTTTGATTTTGATTTTCCTTTTGTCTCATATTTGCTACCATATCAGTTACCATGCTGTAATCTCAAGCATACATCACAATCTAGGTTGTATTGAAAAGTCTAAGCTGTTCCTTGCCTCAGTCCTTCCTTGTTTCTTCTCTCGCTTGCCCCTTTTTTTCTCTTGTCCCCAATTACTGAGAGCCTGGAACAGGCCACTAATATGCTGATATGTTTCCCAGGGTGCACCAGGAGTAAGAGGGCCTCAAGGTTACCCAGGCCTTCCTGGACCAAAGGTGAGCCGCACAATCACAACTGAATGTTTTCAGAGATGTTTTTTGTTGTTCTGATTTCTCCAAAATTAGAGAAAGTAAAATATTCCTGAAATTTGTGTACATTTATAAAGTTAATATTTGTTTACAATACAATACAATACAATACACAACACAACACAACACAACACAACACAACACAACACAACACAACACAATACAATACATGAATTTATGTAGCGCTCATTTCCAAAACTCAGTATCACTTTACTATGTTTGTGATTACAATTAAATTACTTCTACTTAAAATTACAATATCATCATACAAATTAAAAAATGAAAAGTTCCAATAAAACAAAAATGTAACTTAATTGTACCATTATACTGTTGTACTGTCGGTGTGAACCTTGCAACATGTAACAATGTTTGAGATAAAGAAGTCATGATGCTTTCTGATTTTCAACATTTCATTTGATGTTTAAAGACTTATCATTTTCAACTTTTTTTCAATTTAGCTCAATCTGTACTTTACATGTCATGTGCATGTATAAGTACT